TATCTATATCTATATGTGCTTTGTTCATCTTTCGTCTAACAATTGAAGAAGTTTAGAGCCATATGTGAGGGCATTAGCTAACAATTGAAGAAGTTTAGAGCCATATGTGAGGACACTAGCTAACAATTGGAGCTGAGGTAATATCTTTCCTTAATTAGAAACTCTCGCAATTCCCTTGTTCATATAATGTAATATATCAAATTATGTGTTATTATTGTCGTGTATTCCATGATTACACTTATTTCATCCCTTTGTATGTTTGAAATATGAATAGGCTTTGTATTCATGTATCATTGTATGCTTGATTGAACAAATTTGATCATTTTTTCTATTTTTGTCTGCATGAGTCGACCTACACAGGGTTAGGTCGACTCACAAAAGTAAGATTTTTCATGCCTAAGAAGCGGGTATGCTCAGGTCAACCCTACGGTCGACACATCACGTGAATTTTTTGAAAATTTGTTGCTGAACTGTTTATTTTCCACCATCTTCAATGCATTTAAATCATTTTGTCTATTCAATGTCATCATCATTAAATATTTGCATTGAGCATTGAAACCTACTCAAGGTCATCTATCTTCCTCTCCTCTTCCCAAAACTACATTCAAAACCCAGCCTCTACATAAAAGGGTAAAGTCATTATCTTATCTCCATCACCAAGAGCACCTTTCTACATCAAAATTCTTCATCTCTACACAAGAAATCAACAATGTCTACCAGAAGGATCACCGGAAAGAGAACCACCAGAGCATCATCTTCTCAAGAAGGTCCATCAATAGGAAATTTATCGGTAACTGCTGTATCTCTTTTACCCCCTGAGTTTTCAGAAATTTATGAAAAGAATTTCAGTAAAGATTTGTGGTTAAGCAACATGCTTACTATCAAAAGGTTGCTGAATGTATGCACATTCCGTAAGTGATTGATCTTCTGGATGCTCAAAGTTTCAACAACTTTTTGGAGTGTGATATCAAGTACAATGAAGATCTAGTAAGGATCTTCTATACAGGTATTCATGGGAAATTTCAAGGTTTTGAGTTCAACACAAAGCTGGGCAATACCAAGGTCTGTGTGAATGATTTGGTGTGGAAGACTTTGTTTGACATGTCACTAGTATCCGCTGAGCCCATTATTAAGACCACGGATGCTCGTCCTGTCATAGGCTACGAGTTTAAAGAAGCTTTGAACTCCATGTTGAAGAAACCATATGGTGCTGATATTGTAGCAAGCAACCTCTTTCTAAAGACGGTCACAACGGGAAAATTAAAGCCGGTGGATAGAATACTATAATGGATTGTGGCGCACATTCTGCGACCAAAGAAAAAGATCAAGTTGAGGTACACTTGATCTATATTCTGAAGAAAAAGATCAAAATCAGTTGGCCTTACTACATCACCAGTAGGATTTATTCACTGAAGGATTCCGGTAGAGGGACCGCTCTATCATACGGGTCCTTTATCCAAGAAATTCTCAACAACGCAAACATTACGGTTCTAGGCATCCCTTACAAATCACTGACCTTAGATCAAGAGTTTTGTCAAAAGACTCTTACCATGATGAGCTATATATGGGATCAAATAGAAAGCCATTATTGATTCATTGTCAAGGCAACTACCTCTCGGTTGGAAGAATCAGATGAAAGTGATGACCAGAACGAGGAAGCAGAAGAAGAAGAAGAAGAAGAAGAAGAAGAAGAAGAACATGTAGGTGGACATCCTATGGAAACTGATGATCAATATGATAGTGGGTGGCTAAACCAATCACATCACTTGGATCATGAAGATGACCAAGGGTGGGGTGCATGGAAATATACGGGCCGGACATCGTTAGGTGCCAACTACATGCCACAACAAAATTGGGATCATCAAGGCACTCATGACTGGAGCTATGTGCCTCAACCATCCCCGCATCCATAACAACATACCGATGAACTCCTCGACACGATGAGGACTATGCATCTTGAGCAACGTTCATTCATGACTGCCCAGGATGAGCGGTTCTCTCAATTACAGAGCCAATTTTAAGCTCACACAAAAAACTTTAATGCTTTTTCATCAGGTGTAATGAGGAAGATCAATGGGATAGTTGAAACAGCAACAGGTCAACATAGGGCTCTTGCCACTAGCTTCAATTCATTGACTGGTTATTTCTTTCTTTTTGATGTTGTCAAAGGAGGAGAAGCATATCAAGCAGAAACATCATATGCAAAGACTTGTTATTCATGCAGATTGTGTATAGACGAAGGCATCAAGTAAGGGGGAGGATGACATAATGCATCGTACATCAAGTTTCTATCGTTTTGCCATCATAAAAAAGGGGGAGTATGTAAGGGCAATCCTCATAGGTAGATGCACTTGTTTCAATGATGTCAAAACTTAGATTGATAGAAAAATGTACTTTGGACGGTATCATCGTGTCGAATTTGCATGTCTTTTCCCTCGTAAGTCAAATACTCGTAAAAAACATGATTGATGCATATAGAAATGGCTAAATATATGTTTCATGTAGGGCTGGTCAAGCTAGTCAAGCTTACCATGTTATAGAGTTCATCAAGTGTCTTGATACATGAAAATAGGCGTTTTTGCCTATTTCATGGGTTTGAGTCGACTCAAAGCTAGCTCCAATCGACTCATAAATATAATCTTTTTAATGAACCACTCTCAGGAGGGCTCGCATCGATCCTCCAGTCGACTCATACTGTGACCATTTATATTTGCCTAAATTTGCATGCTTTGTGTCGACACATGACCTGCTCCGGTCGATGCAAGGTCCTATTTTTTGCTCAATCAAGAATAGTGGTAAGCTCAGGTCGATCCTCCTTCTGCATAGGTCGACTGCTCGCTAATGGTTAGTCAAAATTCTGTTATGCAAAACAGTTTTGGTGTTTGTTATGTTTGTTAAATTAGTTATGTTTTGCATATAAAGTGAGTTGTGCTCTTCCTTTCACACAACTGAGAAAAACAAGAAAAGTGAAAATAACATACTGATTTGTTCTCATCATCTTCATCCTCTTCATAGCTTTTTCACAACAACTACACATAATCATTTTTGTTGTGCATTCTGCATGTTCGAGGTGATAACGTCCAAATTAGGATTGGTGTAATCTGGTTTGGGTTGAGTAATCAGTAGGTTTTTCTTGAATAAGACCGTTAGGATTTTGTCCTCCAAGAATCTTAGATTTTGGGGAGTTTTTGCACGAATCGGTCCATCACAGATTCAGCCGAGCGAAGATAATCGAAGAGCAGGAGGTTCTGTTGGTTTAGTAGCGGTAAACGGAGAATTGTGAGTGGAAGATTCGGGTTCGACACATGGGTGACTGAAATCAGCCGGGCAAGATTTGAAGACCTTGGGGTTGTTCAAAGGGCGTGCTGTAGTTGGAGGTTTACTCACCGCATTCGAAGAACTTGATTCAACTTGAATCAAGGGGCAAGAAGAAATATGCTCTACATCAACAAATTGTGTTCGATCGTTTGATCTCTATTTGCTTCTTGTATAAACATTGACCAACAGGTTATATCTATCTATATACAGGTCTCAATTCTATTATTAGAATTGAGGGAAGACGTATCCCGAGCGAGGACGACGAGGAAACTGCCTCAACAAACTGTTGTCTTTTTCTTTACGTTTATATTGCTTAAATTCTGAGTTTTAAGTGCAAACAATTGTGTCAATCAAATTTTAATTTGAGTAGTGCTAAATTAGTTTTAAGCTTGTTATAATCCTTGATTGTAATAGAACACTTGAGCACTTTACTCTCATAATAGAATTCACTTGTAGTGCCTTGCACTCCAAGTGTTTGATCGATTGTGTGAACTAAAACTATTGTGTTGTCTTTTCAAATTGTCTATATTTTAAAAGCATTGGAACTAGTCACACCTTACAGTGAACAAAATCTAATTGAAGTGTTATCAAATTATTGATTCTCAAATTTCATTTTATCGAATTCCATATGCTTTACGCATATTCGATTTTTTTGGTAAAGGTTCATTTTAGACGAATATAGTTCATCGGCCGCTTCTGCCTTAAACATTTTTAAAAACCAATTTTTAGTAGTGCCGACTCTATTTTAAATAAGTGATCTATTCAACCCCTCTTCTAGATCTGCACCATCGTCTAACAAGGTAGACTTCCTATACACATTAATCTTTCGAGTCACGGTATCATCAACAATCCTCATGACCGGGTTTGTGTATTTTGTTTTCATTTTGATGAAGATTCTTACCACGTCTTTTTTACTTGTGTGATTACAAATATTATCTGGAGAAATATTTGTGATTGGTTTGATGTTGGAGTCTTCAATGCATCGTGGGGTTGTAATCACTTAAGGTTTTGGATTGCAAATGTTAGATTGAAGATGTCGATTCCTAATGCGGTTGGTTTATGGTCTATTGTTTACTGGAGCATTTGGTATTCTAGAAATTAAATACTGTTCAATGTGGAAATCGGAGATCCAGAAATTGTGACACAGAGGATTGCTCTCAAGTCTTGGTGGTGGCTATCCAAACGACATAGTCAACCTTTCATTTGTTGCTACAATGACTGGTGTAAACACCCATGGGGTTTCTTATAAGTTTAGGAAAATATTTATAATTTTAGACTTTTGAAGATTGTATTCGGGTTGGGTACCCTAATACCCTATTGTTAATAATTTTTTTTTTTGCTTATAAAAAAAATATTTAAATGAATACTTTATTATTATTTATTAAAAATGAATTAAAAATATTCAATAAATAGAAAAAGTAGGGATGGAAATTGATACAAGATATTTGGAGATTTTATTTTTAAATGTGGGGGTATTCGGGACAAAAAGTCTATTTTTGAAGAAGAGTTATATTCGAATAATTATACACGTTTTTATGAGCCACATGTATGTAAAATTGAAAAATTAAAAAAACATAGATATTTTCTAATGTTACGTGTGGACTAGGCCTATAAAAAGGGATTACAAATATTTGGGCAGATACAAAACCAACAGAAAATATCTAACCTTTGAGGCTATAGAGATGACGAAGGGGAGCAGCATAAATCAATCAGACTTGCGAAGATCTGCAAATTATAGACCCAACATTTGGAAAGACAACTTTCTGCAGTCTCTTACCAGTAAATATGATGTGAGATATATTTATTTTTCTTTTTTAAGTAATTTACAATAACTTAGTCTACGATTGATAGTTACTAGTTACATAAATGATCGTTTACTGTGGGGTGATATAGAGTTAATTAAAAATATAGATATTTATTATTTTTGCGCAGAAAGAAGAATATGCTATGCAGTTAAATAAGTGGGTGATTGAACTAAAATGCAGTTTTGTTGAAGAGTTGGAGGTTACGCAAAAAATAGAGTTGGTTGATTGGATTCAAAAACTAGGGCTAGCCGGTCACTTTGAGAACGAAATAGATGAGTTTCTTCAAAATATATTTGTCTCTGCCCTAGATTTTAACAAATTTAGTGTGCAAGATAATATATACGTTTCTACACTATGCTTCAGGCTTTTAAGGCAGCATGGATACGACATTTTTCCAGCTGGTAAATAACTCTCATATCACAATAAAATTAAGATAGATTTTTTGATAGCTATGAGTTTTGGTCAATATATAGTAATAAATATGATATCGCATCAAATGATATTCTTTAATGGGAAATGATATTTAATGGGAAATGATATAGTGACGCCCTAAAGTGACATTACACGGTATTTTTATACTATACCATCTACCTTATTTTATTTTAATTATTATTTTTATGAATTTAAAACTTGTGCTGCATCTATTATCTCTATTATCTATATATACAAATTTAATTCTATGAACACCCTAAATTACTCTTTCATCATAAATTATTTACACTATCAAAAAGATATTTTAGTAATAAACTAATATTTACTTTTTTTTCATTCTCATCTACTATTACAATATGACAAGTGACACTTATTTTCTCTTTTAATTTAAATTTCAAATTTTTGTCACATTACTTTTTCCCACACTTTTTTCTTTCATTTTAATTTTTTTCTATCTATTTATTATCACTAAAAATATTATTAATCAATTTTTTTAATTTTAATAAAATTAAAAATTTATTTATCTCACGGGTCACTTTCAACACATCTATTTTATTTTAATAAATAATTATTTTTATTTTTTTTCTTCTTTTGATACAATTAAATTTATATAATTATTGTTTATTTTTAGTGATGATGTAATTCATTTTAAATTTTGCATTTGTATCTAAATATATTTTATATCATATCAATTTTTTTATTTTACGAGTTATTATCAGTACAATTTCTATTTTATTTTTATCAACAATTTGTCTTGATTTGAAAGACAAAATCTTTATTTCAAAATAACTTTTTTCATCTCACGAGTCATTTTTTCCTTTTTGCATAATTATTTGATACAATTGAGTTTATATAAATATTTTTCATTTTAAAATTAAGTAACTAATTTCAAATTTACATATTTATATAAATACATTTATATTGTATCAAATAAACTTTCTATTTCACGGGTCACTATTAGTATAATACATATTTTATATTAATCAATAATTATCTTAATTTGAAAGATAAAATTCTTTTTTTTAAATATTAAATATTCTTTTTTTATCTCACGAGTTTCTTTTTTTCTTTATATTTTAATACAATTGAATTTATATAATCATTACTAATTTCAAATTTAAATACGTATATAAATACATTTTATATTGTACTAAATTTATATATAAATTTGAATATCTTTTATATCATATCAAATAATTTTACCCGTGTTTACTAATTGTTTAATAAAACTAATCTAATGGTTATTTATAAAATTCAGATATATTAAGCAACTTGTTTGATGTGACGGACAACTCATTGTCAAGCGACGTTAAAGATATTATAGAGCTTCTTGAGGCCACACATTTGAGCTTCGATGGTGAAAATGTATTGGATGATGCCAAAATGTTTGCAATAAGTTGGCTCAAAGATGCTGCCAGTAACAAACAACTAATTCCTAAATATGATATTGAAAGAGTGGTCCATGCTTTGGAACTTCCTTCCCATTGGAGAGTACCGTGGTTTGATGTAAAATGGCATGTGAAGCAATATCAAACTAAGAAACATATGGACCCCATTTTACTTGAACTCTCTAAATTAAATTTTAACATAACTCAGGCCAATCTTCAAAAAGAGGTCAAGGATTTGTCAAGGTACAAATAAGTTAAAGGTTTACATCTATATATTAGCAAGTAAATAGTAGTAAATAATGTTTCTAATTTGTGTTTTAGGTGGTGGGAGAAACTTGGCTTGAAAAAAGCGATGGTTTTTGCAAGAAATAGGTTGGTTGAAAGTTTCATGTGTGCGACAGGGGTTGCTTCAGAAGCCAAGTATAGATCTTTGAGAAAATGGCTCACTAAAGTAATTACGTTTGTATTAATGATTGATGATGTTTATGATATCCAAGCCTCATTTGAACAACTCATGCCTTTTACGATGGCATTTCAAAGGTTTGTTTTTGTTGGTCGACTTTGTGTTTTCTCTTTTTTAATATACTAAATTTCTTAAACAAAATTGATTTATCCGAATAAATTACAACGTGGTAAGGTATTGTACATGTAGTTTTTTTTTTTCAATTTTCTTTAGCTTGTCTTTGTCTTTGTTGTATTGGTTAGAGTATCTCTAGTGTTAATCGGAAAATTTTCACTAAAAAGCCTGTCACAAAATTATCTCTTAAAATTATCATGATTAACATTAATAAATTCATATTCAATGACGATTTTTAATATTTTAGATAAATTTTAAAAAATATTATATGATAAATTTAAATAAAATACTATAATTTTTTATATTTTTTTATATATTTATCATAAATATTTTAGACGGACTAATTTAATTCGATGATCAATTATGATATCAAGTAATTTCAAGTTCGATTGTAGTTGAATTTATAATAGTTTACCAATAATAAAATTCATATTTATTAATAAAAGTCATCTCTAAACTATTTGTTAGATGTCCATATCAAACACAAACATTATGGCGGGACAATAACCTAATTACCTAATTGAAGTGTCTACACATATACATGTTGATTTTATATATAGATGAATTCTAAAAAAAACAATATATAAAACATATTTTATGAGATAAATTTTAGACAATAATTTTTTTCAATTCTCTTTTCTTTAATTTTTAATGGTATTTACAATATTAAATAAAATATAATTCTTTTTAATTTTTTATTTATCATAATCCTACTTTTAAAATTATAAGAGGATCTCAAAATCATTTAAAACAATAATATATATACTTAGGACATATTGAGAGCATGTTCATATAAACAGATGGGATGCCAAAGAACTTGATGAACTTCCAGAGTACATGAAGATTTGCTTCAATGCACTTCAAAACGTCACACATGAAATTGCTTATGAAGTTGGAGGAGAAAAAAACTTCAATATGGTGCTACAATGCCTAAAGAAAACGGTATTAATGCTAATTAACTTTGTTCTGGAAATGTAAAATTATTAAGAAATGAATCAGTTTTTTCTAATCATTCTCCTCACAATTTCATAGTGGATTGAGTTTAGCAAGGCATTATTCGTGGAAGCAAAGTGGTACAAAATGGGATATATTCCATCGTTGCAAGAGTATCTAAGTAATGCATCAATTACATCGTCAGGGCCATTAATTCTAATCCATTCATATTTTGCTACAATGCATGAATTAACCGATGAGATAGTTGAATTTTCTCACACATATCAAGATTTGGTGTACAATGTATCTCTCATTATTCGCTTGTGCAATGATTTGGCAACCGCAGAGGTAATTCCACACAGTATAATTTTTTATTACTTATTGAAATTATTAAGATTTTTTTTTAATTACATTAATAATAATGAATCAAAATATACGTGTTCAAAAAATTATAATATATAATTTAGACACAGAAATCAAGTCTGTATAAAATTAAAATATATTTCAAAATATTTGGATCTATTGCAAAAAATATCTTTGATGATAATCTTAAATTCAGAAATTATTAACTTTTGTGTTTCTTTCTCAACCGATACTTCTTATGTCTCAAATTTTTTCGGGGGAGAAAAGATAATTGACTTGTTGTACCGTTTATTGGTAAGCATAACCTATATATTATGATGATTAATTAGAGTTTCCATTATTTACAAATGAGTTATCTTGACATTCACTTATGTTTGAATATATATTCAATTATTTAATTAATTAATTAAATAAATAATTCATAAACAAAATTTTAATAAATTAGATCACTTAATTATTTAAAGATATTTAATTAATAAAATAATTAATATTAATAAATAAATATATTTAACCACATAATTATTAAAATATTAATATATTACTCTTTAATCATGGAAATTGATATACAATTACAGGCCGAAAGAGAAAGGGGAGATGCTGTATCGTCAATTGCATGCTATATGAATGAAATGGATATTTCAGAGGAAAAGGCAAGAAAACATATTCAAGACATTATTAACCGTGCATGGAAAAAAATAAATGGACTTTGCTCAACTCAAAATGTTTTGATGGAACCATTTTTTAATCAAGCCCGAAATGCAGCACGTATGGCTCATACCCTTTATCTAAATGGTGATGGGTTTGGTATTCAGGATCGAGATATCAAGAAACACATTTTATCACTTGTTGTTAAACCCTTCTAGCTTTTAAGATATGCAAAAAAACACATTTTACTTTAAGTACGATTTTTAGTAGCGAATCACCATTTTAGTGTGAGTGGGTGTATTGTATTAGAATATAGTTGAAAATATTTTATAAGCTTTTTTCTTACTCTCGAAATCTTCTCTGAGTGGCTGTTGAAACCTTTGATATACTTGAACTGATAGAAGTTTGAGGAATTGTTTGAGGTGTTTTGGGTGTCAAATCTAGTTTTCAATAATTTTCTTTTAGGTGATTGCGTGTTATTGTTAGAAATTGTAATTTGATGTTTTGTCGAAAGCTAGCATTTAACTATTTTGAAATAGCTAGTTGAAATGTAGGAGTCATTTGTATTCGACTAAGTCGAACATAACATATAGTTGTTATGTCGAAATGCAAATTGTAGTTTTGTACTTTGCATTGTCGATGTTTGGAACATGTGTCCATTTGTATAGTTTGGGTACGAGTTTTAGTTGCCTATATAAAGGGCATTGTATTATGAAAACATAACAACCCCCTAAATCATATTTCTCTTTACAAATTCACTTTCTCTCTTTTCTCTCACTTTCTTTTTCTCCCATTTTTCTTGAAAACACTTTTGTTCCAATAAATTGATATTAAGGAGGCGGGTTGCGATTCAGAGAGAACCTGTAATAGCAAACCAAAACACAACATCAATGCAATTTTGAATGAATCTACTGATTTTCAAATGGGGAACTACGAATGGTGGGTTGTGGATGTGAAGGTCATCTTTAGATTTCAAGATGTGGCTGAAATCGTGAACGATGAAGTACTGACATTGGAAGCGAATGCATATGATGTTCAGCAAGTTGAACACAAGGAACAAAGAAAGTAAGATGGAAAAGGTTTGTTCTTGATTCACCAGTGTGTGGACCATAACATGTTTGAGAAGATAATTGAAGAAGAAACGAACAAAGAAGCGTGGGACAAGTTAAAGAACTTGTATGGTGGAGATGAAAAGCTGAAAACGGTAAAGTTGCAGACTTTGAGAAAACAATTCGAGATGAATCAGATGAAGTAAGATGAATCAATCTCGGAATACATTTCACATGTATTGTTGTTAAAAAAAACCAGATGAAGTCGTGTGGTGAATCACTCAACGATTTGCAGAAGATTGAGAAAGTGTTGAGATCTCTGACTGCGAAGTTTGATTATATTGTAGTGTCAATTGAAGAGTCCAAAAACCTAATTGAGATGATGCTAGAAGAACTTTAAGCTTCATTAGAGGCTCATGAGATGAGGCTGAAGAAGAGTAACTCAGAAAGGGAAAAGGTGGTTGAACAGGCACCACAAGCAACATTCATCAAGAAATCTAGGAAAGAGAAAAGAAAGAATCTTACAAATGATGAGAAGTCAAGTGAGAACTCAAAGAATCACTCTGAATCCATCAAGAAAGGCATAGACAACAAGTATTTTTGGATGAAAATTGACATGAAGAAGGTGTAGTTTTACAACTGTCAAGGATTTGGACACAATGCTCGAGATTGTCGAGGAATGAAAGAAGCATGGGCTAAAGATAGTGATGAAGTGCAGTATGCACAATATGAAGATAATGATTATGAGAATGTGTTACTCATGGCCAATACTCCGTTGAACATTGGGCAAACCAACATGTGGTACCTGGATTCAGGATGCAATACCACATGACTGGTAATAAAGACTGGTTCACCAAGCTAGATGAATCAATTGAGAGAATGATAAATTTTGGAGATGACAAACACATCACATTAGGTGGAATAGGTGATATCTTTTTTGTCATAAAAAATGGTCGAAAAGACAACATCAGTGATGTGTTGTATGTACCTTCGATAACAAGTAACTTGATAAGCGTGGGTCAATTACTTGCAAAAGGGTACAACATGAAGATAAAAAAGAATCATATGAAGGTGTATCATAGTGATGGAAAGATGATTCTGAAGGCACCATTGGAAAATAATAGGATATCCAAAGTAGAGATCAATCCATTTGAGCACAAATTTCTTGCTTCAACTGCAGAAGAAGACAAGAATTGGCTATGACATCACATGTATAGACATCTAAACTTCATAAGTTAAAGTATGCTTAACTAGAAGAAGATGGTGTATGGCTTACCTTGAGTGAAAGAACCAAGTCATGTGTATGAGGAATGGTGCAAAGAAATCAGGCTAGGAAAACATTCAAGAATGACTTGCCAGTGAGGTCGAAGGAAAAGCTAGAGTTAGTTCACAATGATGTGAGAGAACAAGTTTTAATTCTGCATTTGGCCTTTAGCTTTGATGATAACAATACAATGTTTCATAGACAATACTTTTGTACACTAATGATTTTTGTGTCTAGTGTGTAGCTTTTGCTAAATACATTATAAATCTAAAGCTCTAACGTGTAACGTCACCAAATTCTAGAATTAACACAATCTGACTCTGAAGATATAGAAGTGTTTCACGGGATGTTGTCAGGTCCTAGAAAGCTCTTAGACAATATTTCTGAAGAACGTCCATGCTAAAGCTTATGACTGTGACTCTGATCAAAGAGCCTCTGAAGGGTCGTCTACCTCTTCAAGATTACGTGCTCAAGTTTTGTAGATTTTGAAGAACAAAGTGCTGAAGACCAGGATCTGAGAAACACTATAAAGACTCTGAAGACTTAAGTTCTGAATTTTCTCAACCAGGCCCTTGACTCTTCTAAACATGCTTTAAACAACTTCATCCAGAAGCCTATGAAGATTAGAAGATAAGATCAAAAGGATTTACATGATGTATATAGTAAACATTACAAGATCAAAACATTCCTTTCACTACGCAGGTTTCATAGAGTAAGGACATTTATACTATACAATTTTGTCTCCCACCTATTGATGATAGTTATTCAAGGATCCAACTCATTCATGAAGATTCTTATTCTACCCTCCAACAGATCTTTCTTTGGCTATATAAGAAAGACTTGGAAGGCTGAATGAGGTTTCCAATTTGCTAATAATTTTCATGCGCTACACAACATTATTCACGCTGCTTCATTTTCTCTGAAAATATTATTCTTGTGAATATTGTATAGAAACACACATAGAACTGTTATTAGTTTTGTGTGATCATTTTCACTGTATGTAAACTTGTGTTGATCTACTTACTAGAATAATTATTTATAAACACAATCTCTAAATCTCAAATTTGTTTAAGTGGTTACCTTGAGTGACTAGGGTTTAATCTGTATACTCGAGAAGACAAAAAAAAGGTTGTCTTTGTGGTGTCTGTAATCAATTTGGTTTTAATGGATTAAGTCCTTATTGAGAAGGAGAAATAACTTTGGTAGGATGGACTGTAGGTAGCTTAGTTAACAACAAACCAATATAAAATATTCTATTATTTTTATTGTTCGTGTATTTGTGTATCGAATTAGTTTTGAAAAAGTTTTGATTTTCATAAACACATTTCAAACCTCCCCCCTTTCTTGTGTTTCATGGAATCAGAGCTCCGATTCTGGTCTTGATAAGATTATCAAACATATAATAGTGTTAGATAAAGATCTAGTGTGAAACACAATGACTGCCATTCCACCTCCAGTTGTTAAAACAAATGATAGAGATCACTACAATGTTAAACCTCTTGTTTCTTATGGAGACAAATTTGATTATTGGAAGGAGAGAATAGAAAGCTTCTTTCTTGGTCACGATGTTGATCTATGGGACATAGTATTTGATGGCAACGTGCACCCAATAGATGCAAATGGCAACAAAGTTGAAAGAAGAATGATGACAGATCAATAGAAAAAGGATTATAAGAATCATCACAAAGTAAGAACCATCTTGCTAAATGATATTTCATACACTGAGTATGAAAATATCACCAATTGATATATTTCTAAATCTATATTTGATTCTCTAAGTATGACGCATGAGGAGAACACACAAGCCAAAAAAACCAAGGATCTTTCCTTGATTCAAAAATATGAAGCGTTCAAGATGGAGGACGAGAAAACTGTTGAGAACATGTTGTCAAGGTTTGAAACTCTTGTCGCAGGGCTTAAGGTTTTGGATAAAGGTTACTCTATTGCTGAACATGTCAAAAAGATCATCAGAATTCTACCTAAGCTTTGGGGACCAATGATAAGTGCTCTGAAGTAATCAAAGTACCTCAACAACACATCTTTTGAAGAACTGATTAGTTCCTAAATAAGACATGAGATTGAGCTCGAAGAATATGAGCCTAAGAGAAAGAGCAAGTTTTTTTCTCTGAAGCCTTTAGGAAGATCTGAGAAAACTAAAGCTCTTCAAGCTGATACTGATGAAGAGTCCGAATAAGAATCAGAAGAAGATGAATTATCTCTTCTTTCCAAACTCGTCAATCAACTCTGGAAGAAAAGGCAAGGTAAACTTAGAGGACAAAAAAGGAAAAGTGGTCGTTCTGAGTTCACTTATGGATTTAAGAAAGCTGGAGCCAGCAAAGATGTCATCTACTATGAATGTAAGGAGCCATGTCATTATAAGAATGACTTCCCTAAATTGAAGAAGGACAAACCTAAGAAGAAATACTTTCGTAGTAAGAAAAATGGTCTTACGGATACACGAAACAATTTAGAGTCTTCTGAAGATGATTCAGAAGAAGAGCATGCGAATGTGGCTCTAATGGCATTCACAAGAGCTCTTGCTGAAACGAGTCAATCATAATCAAAATCTGAGTTCTAAAGAGGTATTTTCTGAACTTTCTTGTTCTGAGCTTGAGTCTAGTTTATCTGAAGTTTTAGAAAAATATCAGAACCTTCTGGACAAATATAAGGATCTGAAGAAGATTCATGTATATGAATCAGAAGCATAATGTAAGCTTCAGAAAGATTTTTCAAGGTTGAGTGAAGAAAATATTATTTTGAAAAACAACTTTATGCCTCCAAGCAAGAGTCTCAAACCTGAAAAAGAAACCATTTCTAAAGCCTTTATAGGTTCTGGTGATATCATACAGAAGTATGATAAATCTTTCCAGAAGTTTCTTGCTAGAAGCCTAAATAGAAGCTTAAT